TTAAGGTTAACATCCCTTACACAATAACTTAAAAGTACTAAACAATATCACGGAATAAGTTCTCTAAAAGAAATACGAGAAATGAGAAAAATAAATGAAACTATAAAGCATATAGCATCTACTCGCCGTCTTTCTGTGGATCGGGCTCGGGAACCAAGTCCTTCTGATCTGAAATAGTTAAATAAGGAATGAGTTACACTAACCAAGTAAGGACATCATACTATATTACCGTCACATAAGCAAAGGTTGCTAGAAAACCAAAAAATAACCAATGGAGCACAAATTTTAAACCAATACAATTATTTAAAATAAAACCACTTATCCTTTTTCTTACCCTACGAGAACCTGTGAAAATAATCTATAAAGGCAATAACATCATACAGATCACAATTTCATGCATAATCAGTAACATAAAACATATCATAAATCCGTATTCATTAACAATAACTTATTATCACTGTTTCTCGTTTTCATAGCCTACTAATATCCATGGGGATCCATAGGGGTGTTCCCGCTACACGTGAACCCTTCTTCTTAACAATCTTAATTTCAGGGCCGTCTCCATACCCCGTCTGGTATGAGCGCCAAGACATTAAACCTTAATACCCCGTTCGGTATGAGGGTGAAGCGAGCTGTCCTCATAGCCCGTTCAGCATGAGTGCCAAATAACCAAGTCTTCATACCCCGTCCGGTATAAGATGACGTTCACGGTAGGGTTCTCTATGAACCCGGTCCGTCCACTATCTCCCAGGATATCTAGTGAGGCTGTCACCTTATCTATTTTTCCTTAGTCTCTATTACCAAGTTGAACATAATCATATAAACAATAAACATGCACCCGGTAATACAATCATATCTGAAATTCCAAAATCACACAGTGGTCAAGTGAAACAGTAACACATGCTTTTAAAACCATGGAATAGATAGACGATATACCATAATGTATTTAAACTGTAAAATAAATCAAGCAGAAATCGACAGAGAATAATGTCTGGTTCAGGCTCAATTAGCAACTGTAATTAATTATGCATATCTATTTAATTTGTACAGAATCTAGTATTATCATTTATTCAAACTTTAATTCCATGATAGAAAATAGGGTGATGGGTCCTTACTTGATTTGACACCGAAAACTAGATTGTCACTGCGCCTACGGGTGGTCCCTGGGTTCTCTGAATATTTCATCGGGAACTGAAATGTATTTACGGTACCTACATATGTCCCAAATAACCCAAAAATCAGACCCAAGGCCTACTCGGCCAATTTCAGAATTCCAGTATGGCGGCTCCGCCGTGCTCCAGTGTCGGTGCCGCTGCTCGCGGCGGCGATTCACCTTGGCCGAATTCAGCCAAACTTGCATAAGTTCCTGTGAGAAAACATATTTAGGGCCCTCAGTGGGCCGAAAAAAATTAGAAAACTGAAACTCACCGGCGGTGGGGCTCTTTGGTGCGGCGGCTCCTCCGGCTCACGTTGCAGTTGGGTGTTTTGCTCTGGTCAACCTGTAGAGGAGGAAACGATGATCATAACGGTGAAAAAATCACATCGAATGGGAATCGAGAAGGGCCTCATCAGAGGCAAAAATCGAAACACCCAGCGGCGGTGCCGCTGAGCTTTGACAGTATTTTTCGGTGAATTGGCTGGTGCTTTCGCTCCTATTTGGCCATAGGTGTATTTAGAATCAAATTCTGAGCAAAGAATAAAATTTTTATCTCGTTTGGCGGCTGGAAATTGCTCCGATACGACGATGGGTGGCGGCAGTTGGCTCTCCGGTGGCTGGGCTGTCTTCTCCGGCGAGGGGCTCTGGCGGTTAGGGTTAGGGTTTGGGTGCGGATGGAGTTATTTATACCCATCCGCTTTTGATCTGAGCTGTCAATCGCTTTTAATCTGGACTGTCCGATCGCGATTAAATAGGGAGTGAATTTGGACTGTTCATCGCGATTCAATCTGGACCATCTGTGCACGATTCAATCTAGGTCGTCCGTGCGCTATGCAATTTGGGCTGTCCGTGCGCGTTTTTCATCTGGGCCGTCCGTGCGCGCAGGAACGGATCTCAGTCGTTCAATTGCGCGCACGCGGATCGCCCACGTGACTCCCTCCTGCGTGGCCTCCCGCGTCAGCGTCTCTGCCACCTGGCGCGTCCTGGTTGGTCGGGTTTGCTGACCAGGCAGCTGACGTGATACAACTTTTTTAAATTGCGTTTTGACCCCCCTAATTTTCGATTTTTCTTTCAAAAATACCTCAGAACCCAAATTTTCACACATTTTTTCCAAAATTATTTTCAATTAAATCCCTAAACAATTTTTACCACTTATTATTATTATTATTTTCATTAAATTAAATTCAATTCAATTAATACATATTTTATATTTATATAGAATTAATAAAAATAAAAATAATGAAAATAGTTGGGTGTTACAGTTCAGAATTCGAATTTTGGTCATTTTAATATGAAATAGTTAAATAAGAGGAATGAATTATACTAAACTAATAAGAATATCAACACCTAACAACCGATACGGAAAATCAAATGTGGATAAAAATCACAAAACAACCAATAGAGTCATCTTTCTTTTTAGGTAAATTCATTAATTTTAAAAACATAGTTTTATACTCACATTTTATGTTCTCAAATACAAGTTGTGAAGATAATAATCAATATAATAATTTATTAAATATTCTAAGTAATAATAATAATCAAACTTTACATTTTTATTTTCTTACTTGTATCTCTGATGGTTCATAGGGGTTCCCACTATACGTGGACCCAAAATTCAATATATTCAATAACTGGTCGTCCCTATACTCCGTATGGTAATGAACATCAAACATACCACTGCCTCAATACCCCGTTCGGTATGAAGGTGAACAAATACTTCTTAATCCCTTATGATATAGTACTTTCAACCCCGTTCAACTGAGATAATGTCCATGGTAGGGTTCGTCTTATGTGCCGGGCCCGTACACCATTTCTCATGACACTACACCATTTCTCATGACACCAGGTAAGTCTTCCACATACATATCCTTATCATTGACTAGCCATCAATTATATACAAAAATTTTATTTCATAATTATAGAACAACAGACAATATAATTTGATATTTAAATAACTAAGAAAATCATAGTCAGGAAATTTATTTCAAACCAATCATCAGATAAGAATAAACAGTTAGGTAAACTAAGGAACAAAAAGACAATTAAAATCAATCAATTAAAGTACACAATGTAGCAATAAGCAACTGAGACAATATAAAAGTAAATAAGCAGTACATATCAATTATACACTGACTAGTTATTGACTCTATTTGTGACATGTATTAAATTAATAAAAAGTTGCTAACATTCAGAAATTTTACTGGTTATTATTATTTAAACTTTAATTGATCGTAATGGGAGAAAAGATGAGGGATTCTTACTCTAGGTCGGTGTTCGAAACACCACCTTTTTCACTGCACTTTCTGGCGGTTCCTTGATTTTTTGAATTTTTCTATAAAAATTGAAAACACACGTCACATATCTTAAAATACTTAAAAAAGATCAAAGATAAGGTTTTTAGAATTTTTCGGCTAGTTTAGGGTTCCGGCATGGCGGCACTGCTGCCTACGGTGGTGTCTCCTCTCAATCTGGCCAGTTTCGGCCGGTCTTATGCAAAACCTACAAAATTCGAGGTTAAGTGGCCTCTGTTGACCGAAAAAAGGAAAAAAATAGAAGTTTATCGGCGGCTGTTGATGTGACAATCCTACGTGATCTGTTTTCGTAATTTGCACTTTTGCTCTAGTTTTTTAATTTTATTTTTAAATAGATCATTTTTTATTTGCAGTTTGGCTATAACTTTTGAAAATTATTTTTAAATGTGCCATAAAATATAATTTTCTTCAAAATTTTAGTTAAAAATTAAAAATTAATTTTTTTAAAATTATTTATTATTATAATTTAATTATTCCGGACTTAAATTCTGATAGATATCGGATATTACATTTAACATTTAATAAAATTATTTATTTAAAACATAAAAATATAAATAAAAACTCGAACAAATAAGTATCATTAATATCTTACTTAATTTATTAAATTCTTACTAAATATAAATATCGATATAACGAGCATGACATAAATTTAGACGGATCCATCTCTTACTCCGTCATCCTTTTTCATCACCGCCTTATACTTGGAATGAGTAAAATATTTTTTAGCTTATTCTCATCCCGTAAGTAAGGCTTAACTACATTACTTGCTCTACACTCACTCGATATTTAATTTATAATTTTTATTTAATTATACAAAGTATTTCTAATTTAATGTATAACTTTTTTATTTGATATATTTTTATGTTATCTACTAAACTTAGGATATATCTTATTAACGTATGCATATTATCAATAATCACTTTTATGGTTAATCATATAATAATGATAAATTAAAATTAACTTAACACAAAAATAAAAATTTTTATAATGATAAATAGTTATTTCTTTGAATATTATTGATTGAACTATACAATTTTTAATGTAAATTCTTAGCAAATAGTTTAGTTTTTGATGTAATATCATATAATTGATGGCAAAATTAGCACAAGAAGATCATAGTTTTATTTTAACATTATACATACATGTTTTTATGTTTTTATATGATACTTCAACTAATTATTAATTTTTATCATGTGATATGAATATCTTTAATTTTTTAATTCGATTAATAATTAAATTATAAACTGAAAATTTCTAAAGTCAATAAATTAATATATAAATTTTAATGATAAGATTACTAAATTGAATTATATTTGTAATTTAAAATTACCAAAAAATAATATAGTTCTAATAAATAATATTAAAAGAAAATTAGTTATAATTCCTCGAAGTAATTTAATTTTACAGCCCGGCCTCGATTTCTTCAGTGCGGAGCAGCAAATTACCCGAATCGAGCATGAGGTCACAGGTTCCATTCCAAGCGTCGTAAAATTCAACTCGCACATATATCACTTCATGGACAAAAGCTCTGGTTTATTCTTTACTTCTAAGATCTATTTAACTGCTTAGGTTACGAGCACCACAACTTTGGGGTTTCTCCATTCTAGCTTCTTAAGCAAGCACGGTCTTCTTCCTCGTCGCTTTAGTTTGCGCCAGCTCGTCTCCCTCTCGGCTGGACGAATTCTTCACCGTTATCACCTCGCTAGGTTCGCCAATCACTGTGAGTGTCCCTTGCTTACAACTTGATTTTAGGTTTAAGATCGTAAAAACTTGAATTTACATCCCAGTTTTGAACTTACCCAGAGTTCGCTCAGTCTCGCTAATTTTCAGTTTTACTTTCGATTTGCAAAGATTAAAATCATTAAGAAGAAATGGAACTAGAAATGAATACTTTATTTTTGAGATTTCAGGCCTTAATTTTTTTTTTTTTTGAAATAAGGATTTCGGGCCTTAATTTATTCAGTTTGTTTGTATTGTTATCTGGTGGGCATGTTTGTAAGCATGTTCTCTCCATGTCTCCTTTACTCGCTCTCCATACAGGGTACTGTTTGGCAATTTTTGTACTCTAAATTTTGTTGTTAGCTGCTTAACTTAATCTTCAAGTACTTATCCCTTGTTAAATTCTTTATGTTGGGTCTTGGTTGCCGAAAAGGGACAACAACTTTAGTAAATAATGGAGTTTGTATGATAGAAATTGTATTGTTATTTTAGTAAATGTAGGTTTATTGGAGTCAATGAAAATATATACACACACATGTTTTATGGAATTTAATCCGGTGATTCATGACCAGGAAAGCCTATTTCGTTCTATCTTTGTTGACAAGAATGGCTCCGGATCCAAACAGCAATGGTGGTGCTGGCAGTGGCAAACGAGAAGAAACCTCGATTAAGGTTCCATCCAAGGATCTCAAAAAGAAGGACGAGAAGAAGGATGAAGATCTGGTAAGCTTGTTGTTATTTTGATTTTCTTTTTTGCGGAAATTTTTTAGCTTAGTTTGTTAAACCTTTGCTTGGTTGGTGAGAAAGTTAGGACTTTTGTTTTAGTTTCTTCCTTTTTTGGATAGAAAAAGAGGACAGAAAATTTAATAGTAGGTGCTTATGTACAAAAAATTTAAAAGAGGACCATTGTCAATGTGTTGGGCCTGTGAACTAAATTTCATGTGCGATTACTTGGAGAATCCTGCGGAAAACACTAATGAGGAACTTGTTTATGTTGGAGGTTTGGCTTGATTTATATTGTGTTTATTTGTTGAGAAAATTACAGCAAGTGAATAGTTTGTGTTATTGTCTGTTTTAGCTTGTCTTAAAGTTCAACAAAGAATTACCTTTACACCAGAGTAGCTTGAGTTACTTGTTTAAAGTTTGGAATCTGAGGACACTGTGTGAATTCAAAATGGCTTTTCTTACATTGGGATTCATCAAGCAGTTTGCACGACGTTCTATGGGCAGTGGGTTATTTGCGTGTTCTTTTGTCTGTAAAGCAGGATGTGAATTTTGTTAATCTGGATTTCTTTTACTTGCAGTCAGATGAAGACCTAGCGCTGAAGCAGCAGTTGGAGCTATATGTGGAAAGGGTTCAGGACCCTGATCCTGGCCTCCAGAAAGTTGCTCTTGAGAGCATGAGGTAGCATCCAGTTCTTTCAGTTGTTGCATGTTATTTATTATTGTGGGGACTGAACCTCTTTTACCAGTGTCTTACACAATGGCTTGGTTTGCCCAATAGCTATTGGCTGAATTATTGTTGTTGAGCTTGATCAATGGTAACTAGTGACCTCGGCATTTTTTCAATAACTACTATTTATTCTTGTGGGTCATGCAATTAACTGAGTAAAAATTTTTTGTGGTTTTCGTCTTTGCCTTCGGTTGTGTCTTTGTTTTTGTTTTTTTTTTTGGTCTTTCAAAACTCTGCTTTGCTTTTAGAAATTAGTGTTTGGTGATGCATTCCTTCTTTGTTCTTTCCAGAACTATATAATTAGAAAAAAATAAGCATTGATTGCTTTGTGAATTAACTATAAACTTACTTCCTCAAAATGACAATTTTTTTTTTTTGTGGGAGAAAGCGAGGAATTCAATTGAATGAATTTTATGTTTGTTTCCAAATACTGCCAATAATCTTTGAAAAGATTTAAGGGGGTATATAAATATATAGAATATTGTAAAAATAGTCTATATGTTGTATCGATCTAATTTAGATTTATCTTTTTGTTTAAATTTTTTCATTTTTTTACGAGTTTGTCACTTTTTACTAAATTTAGAGGACTGTTGTTGAACGTAAATGGTTTTGTGTTAACATTTTGTTGAACTCGAATCCAATTGGTGAAGAACTTTAAGGTGTGAAGAATTATTTTGTTATTTTGGTTAAGAAAATAGGCACGTGTTTTAAGTAGTTAAGAAATAGGTATGGCTATGGATAAAAACATTCTCCAGTAATAACTAGAAAGTTAGGAAAGTATAAATGAATTCTCTTCCTCTTATGTAATAGACAGTCATATTATATTTCCATAGTGTTTGCAGAACAGTGTAACCACACACCAATATTTGGTATGAGACTTTTCACAATATTTCATGAAGGATAGGTTTTTGAACACTATACTTGCTTCTGAACACAAGTTTTAACCACAGGAACTTAAAGCAATTCTAATAGAAGCTTTTTTCCCTCTGCACAACCGAATGGAGCCTTTTTCTTTGATTTGGTAAATTTACATGTGGATATGGGGGGTGGACTGTTACCCCATGGGCTAGAAGTATAAATTTGAATATTACTATGTATTACATAACCTAAATGCCTAGTATTTTATGTTTTTTTTGAGACATCTAATATTTTGTAAGTTGAACATGCATTGTTATTATTGTTTTTCTCTACTCCTTGATCCTCTTGTGTAATAGACAGTCATATTATATTTCCATAGTGTTTGCAGAACAGTGTAACCACACACCAATATTTGGTATGAGACTTTTCACAATATTTCATGAAGGATAGGTTTTTGAACACTATACTTGCTTCTGAACACAATTTTTAACCATAGGAACTTAAAGCAATTCTAATAGAAGCTTTTTTCCCTCTGCACAACCGAATGGAGCCTTTTTCTTTGATTTGGTAAATTTACATGTGGATATGGGGGGTGGACTGTTACCCCATGGGCTAGAAGTATAAATTTGAATATTACTATGTATTACATAACCTAAATGCCTAGTATTTTATGTTTTTTTTGAGACATCTAATATTTTGTAAGTTGAACATGCATTGTTATTATTGTTTTTCTCTACTCCTTGATCCTCTTGCAGATATTGAAAATAATGTCTATATATATATATTAGCTTTTGCTGCTTCCATTTATGGTCTAAGCGTTTCAGTTACATTATTTTATAGTTTGGTGTGACTGCATGAGACTATCTTCTTGTAGGCAAGAAATTCGAACTGCTACAAGTTCCATGACTTCAGTTCCTAAGCCATTGAAATTTCTTCGTCCGCATTATGGGGCTCTAAAGGCATTCTATGAGACGATGAAAGATTCAGATCTGAAGGTGAAACTTCTCTTTCCTTGTTGAGTGTTTTGTTCCATAAGATATTATCCATGATGACCTGAGCAAGTTACTTAATCTTATTTGTAGAAATACTTGGCAGATATTCTTTCTGTCTTGGCCTTAACAATGTCAGCTGAGGGAGAACGGGTATGTTTTGCTACTTCTGGACCAAAAGATTAACCCTTTTTTTGTTGTCTTTAATTTGATTTTGATTTAGTTACATAATGGGCATAAAACCAGTTTTGAATCTAGTCTAAAGTCTCCTCCTTGACAAAACCAATATATGTTCCAAGAGTGCTTTTTTATTTTTTTATTTTTTTAAATTTGTCTTCAGGAGAGCTTAAAGTACAGATTACTGGGTTCAGAAGCTGACATTGGCTCATGGGGCCACGAGTATGTGAGGTAATTATCTTTATTGAGAGATTTTGTTTAGTCTTGGTGCTCCATTACATATATGGTCAAAACTGTTAAACTATTGTGACCTCTTTCATGATCATATTAACATCGACCGTTTGATCTCTCATTTAAATTATTAGCTTTTGAAGGTTTCTGATGCTCCTTTAGCTAATAATCAGTGGTTTCCTTAATTGCTGCAAGGAAATTGATTTAATGAGAATTCACTGCAATTCTGAACTACAAAAAGAAAAATAATAGCTCTTAGTCTTTCTAATTTTATAGATGTTGCAAAATGTTTTTAACCTGTTTTATGTATTAATGATATATTGGACAAACAAGTTTGGGCTGTTATGGGTCTTAACATTATACCTTTCACCATTTGAGATATGTAACAAACAGTCAATCAAATATTTGAATGTTTGTCTCTTCGTCTTCAAACTAGTTTTGAATTCTTTTTTAAATGTTTGATGATATAATCATAATGGAATCATCTTTTACTAGTTCTTACTTCTCCTATTTTCATAATTATACTATCCAAAAGGTCTATATGGATAATGTTGCCCTCATTGGTGATTCTTTTATTATTATTCAGGAACTTGGCTGGGGAGATTGCCCAAGAGTATGCAAAACGCCAGGTTAGGGATCTTTAAATATATTGTGAATACCCTGGTTACATGCATGATGCATCTAGAATCTATCATGATGTGCATGCTTAGTGATGGCACATAGGAATAACAGTCATTTGTTACTTAAGAATTATATTTTTTAGGTCATTTTTTGCTTCCCAATTTATTTATTTTTAATTTTTCTATCTTTAGTAGGAGTAATGTATTCTATTTTTATTGTACTGTAATTTCTTAATCTTATCCTATTCAGGAAAAGATGACTTGATACTCTATAAATACCTTCACAATCTCCTTTGAGGTCATCATTCAGTTATTCAATAATATATTTTGAGAATTTTTTAATATTTGATTGGGTGATTCTACTCACTTTTATTTTTAAAAAAAAATATTTGATTGTGTGATTTGAATCTTAGACATTATGTTTAAGAACTTTAGGCGTGATGTATAAGTTTTATCCAAATTCTTAAGTGAAACAAATAAGCTCTAATTTGTCCTAGATCAACTGATATTAGAGCTAAAAAAATCTTACACCAAACAGTCCTAAACCTGTTAGCCAAAAAAAAAAAAAATCGTCAAAGACTACAAAGCCTAAACACTCCAAATGACTGTTAGTTGTTCATCAACCACAACTAGTAGTTATCAGAAGAACTACTAGTGAGGGAAATATTATCCATCTATTTTTTGCTAATGACACACTCATTTTCTGTCAACCTGATATCCGCTTCTTAATATTCCTGCGATGTGTCTTAGTCTGCTTCCAGGCGGTATCAGGACTGAAAGTAAATCTATACAAATCTGAATTAGTGGTTTTGGACATCTCCTCCAGTGATATACTTGCCCGTTTTTTAGGCTGTAAGTTATCTCATCTCCCCATTACTTATCTTGGTACTCCTCTTGGTGCTAAATTCAAAGATAAAAATTGTTGGGACCCAATAATTGATATGTTCCTTATCCAAGGGAGGCAAATTTACACTCATCAAAAGCACACTCTCAAACCTTCCCATCTACCTCTTATCTGTACTTAATATTTCGAGCAATGTTGCCAACAAATTAGAGGCCATACAATGCAATTTTCTTTGGGATGATGGTGATAACAATAACAAAAAACTTCATCTTGTGAATTGGAAAGAAATCAAGAAACCATTCAAAGAAGGTGAACTGAGTCTGAGATCAATTGACAAATTGAATAAAGCTCTACTTGGAAAATAGATATGGAGATTCTGGAATGGCCAATAGTTTTTGGAAATCAATCATTATTAGTAAATGGTTCAATGGTGACTGCAATGCTTTAAAATAAAAAAACAGCAATTATGGTTCTAGCCTATGTATTTGGAATCTAGACGACCTTATTTTTCATAATTCTAGGTGGAACATCAACAATGACACCAAAATTCGTTTCTGGAAAGATATTTGGCATGATAGAGAAGTATTCCAATCAAGATTTTCAATAATTTATGCGATTGCTAGATACAAACACATATTAGTAAAAGATGCTGTCGAACTAAATCAATGGCAGGTGATAGTGTGTAGAAACTTGTAAGATTGGGAAATTGAGGAATATGAACATTTTATCCACACTCTATCTCACATCCACCTAACTGACAACAATGACAAACTCATCTGGTAACAGACCAAATTTGGTAATTTCTCCGTTAAGTTCTTATATAAGATTTTGGTCGACAAATTCCACAAGAACAGACGAAATTTTCAGCTAATATAATTTGAAAATCGGGTGTCACTCCAAGAATTTCCTTTTTTGCATGGGAAGCAGTAAAGAGCCGCATTTTTACACTAGATAATTTAATAAAAAGAGGCTTTACAATCGTCAATTGATATTTTTTCTGCAAAAACAGCACTGAAATGTGTAATCACCTACTCCTGTGATGTCCGGTCTCTCACAGCCTCTGTTCTACTATTCTTGGCCTCATGGGACTATCTTGGGTCAAACATAAATCAATTTTGGATGAGCTACTTGCATGGGAAGGATTGAGCTGTCACAAGAAATCTTTTAGAATTGTCCCTATATTTTAGGTCATTTGGAAGGAAAAAAACAATTGTGCTTTCGAAAGAAAAGAAGTCGACTTCAGAATCATCACTGACAACTGGTTTCATTACTTCGGGTCTACTATTTTAGGACACGAAATTGAGTGCTTTGATGATCTTGGCTCTATAGTCGATTGTTTAATCGATTTGTAAATTTTTTGTAAATGGGCCGTGCCTCCTTGGCACCTTTACTTCAATTCAATTTTATACTTTTATTTCAAAAAAAAAAATCAACCACAGCTAATAGTGATACTCATTATCCCTACCAATAGCCTCAAAAGGCCCCAATCAGCAAAATTCCTAAATCTTGTCTTGAAACTTCATGAAAAGGCATGCCACTTGCCTCTACAAGTTCTCTTAGCTGGTGCCTATCGTGTTCCCATTCTTTCATGCAACTCTATCTCATACTGATCTCTAAACTGTGATCCTCATTGGTAATTGAGTTGACTAAATAAAAGCCTGCTGTCATCCAGTAAATAGAATCTAACACATGAACAAAACTTATGCCATAGCCAACACGTGAACAACATGTATGTCCTACCGCATGTTAGACATGCTCGATATCACCTTTCTTGACTTCCCTAACCTCTGAGTTTGTCCAAATCAATTCACTTGGCTGTTCCCAGCTCAAACTTTCCGATCTAACGGTAGTTCAAGAAAATTTCAGTTATATCAATGGTGACTAACATTGAATTGAATGCTAGGCAGGATGCCTATGAGACAAACAAAAAAACTAGATCCGAAACAATACAAAAAGTGATTTAAGCAATTTCATAGGAACTGAGGCACTTAGGTGCACAAATAGCCCACCCATGCAGAATCTGCGAGTTGCACAATCTGTTGCCCTTGGTATGAGGCATGTTGAAAATAATGCCGCAGACATTACCAAGAAGGTGAAAGTTGACGTTCTTGATTTTGATGGAAGAGAGATCTTCATTTCTTTCTTGATTGCGTTGGTTTAATGGACAAGACAGATGTCTTGTTGCTTTACCAAGAAATATTGACTTTATATTAGGGATCTGTCTCTATATAATGCTCCTCATTGCTTACCAGTCACTACAAATTTCGAGGACCAGCCAGAAGATATTGTTGACTATCAAGTGTTAACTTCAAGGAGAGGTACTTATCACAAGTTTTTAGTGAAGTGGAAGAGATGTCTTCAAATTCACTGCACTTGGATTATAAAAGCTAATCTCAAGAGGCTCAACCCTGTGTTAATTTTTTTTTGGTTGAGATAAACCCTGTGTTAAAGTTGAGGGAGCTGAGTTTTTCCTACCCGAGGAAAGTTGATGGCATATACGCGTAGAAGTAATTTACTATCTAGAATTACATCATTTTAGGTTATTTTTATGTTCTCAAGATTATTCATGTTTTATGTTTCTATCTTTATTAGGTGTAGTTTTTCTAATTTTCTTAATATCAGTTTTTTTTTTAGTGATTACATGACATTCTAGAAATGCTTCTGTTATTTCTTTTAAGATCATTATTAGGTTATTCAATAAAATACTTTGAGAATTTAATCAAATATCAGGCGTGATTCCTAAGAATTCTAGGTTGTGATAACTAGCTATATTCCAGATGTCTAAGTAAGCAAATTAATCTTAATTTGTCCTATATTACTCTGGCTTGGGCTTTTTTGACATATTGAACTATTCTTCTTTGAGTTCTTGATTCCTGATTGTTTTGGTGGGTAATGTAGTAAATTATTTCTTTTTTAATGCCGTTCCACATTTTGTTTGCTATTACAGAGTGAAGAGGCGCCCATTGATGATCTAATGGATCTCGTTCAACAAATTGTGGCTTTTCATATGAAGGCAAGTCCTGGCTCATGTTTATGGCAGTGTACTCCATATGATTGGATCCGAGAATTACTTTGGATGTTTTATAACAAACAGGAATGAGTTGGAACATTTTCCAGAAGTACATACTGTTTATGTTTCCTGAGATACATTCTTGGTGGTCTTCTTTTTAATTTATAGTTTATTGCATTACAGCACAATGCTGAACCTGAGGCTGTTGATTTGTTGATGGAAGTTGAAGACCTTGATCTCTTACTTGAGCATGTTGACAGTACAAATTTCAAAAGGACATGTTTATACCTCACAAGTGCAGCAAGGTTAATTGATTCTCTCTATAGTTCTACAGTTTAGGTTAATCATTTATTTTAGTATGTAATTTTTCATTTTAGTTACTAAGAAAAGAATTTCTCAGCTATGGTAGTCACTTTAGGCACAAATTAAAAAATTGAATTTTTTTGACTGCTTATCCTATGCAACAGAATAAAAATATTGGAAAATGTTCCATGCCTTGTATTGCTTTCATTATTAGAGATTCACTGTCCTAAAGTTTCCAAAGACTTCAAAGGATTACTGTGGTGTTTAATTTTTATTCTGAGTCTTTGTCTGCGAGTCTCTTATCCCTGCATCTGTCATGTTGAAATGGTCTATCTGTCTTTAATCTCTATATTTATGATATTTGCTACCTGTCTGATGATGCCAGTCCATTATGATGTTCTAATTTATGATACTGCAGATATCTCCCTGGGCCAGATGACATGTTAGTTCTAGATATTGCTTACATGATCTATGTCAAATTTGAGGAGTATACAAATGCACTTCAGATAGCGCTATTTCTTGACAACTTGCAGGTTTGTATCTGTAATGATGTTGAACTCCCTGGCTTCTTTTAATCCTTTTGTTTCTTTTCCATAGAAGTAGTTGAAAACTCACCTTTTTGCTTTTTTTTTTTCGTCTATGGATCGCTGGGTGCGAGAGGGCCAGTGATTGGCACTAGTCTCTTTTTCTGCTGCAATTTCTGTTTCAGTCTAGAACATATTCAATGCTTATTTTTTTCTGAAACAACATATTCAATGCTCATTTTTTTCTGAAACAACATATTCAATGCTCATGCTTGGTACTTCCTGCTTTGGTTCTTACAAAAATTTTATTTTGGCAGTACGTGAAGCAGGTCTTTACATCGTGCGATGACTTGTCACGAAAGAAACAGTTCTGCTACATCCTTGCCCGACATGTAAGTCCAAGTTTTTATTATTTAAGTTGCATATTCTCTTTCTTTATTTCTGTTTTGTTTATATGAGACAGTGTAACTTTCCAAAGCATTAGTGCATGCATGATTCTAAACTGATATACAAGTCTAGTTCCTTTAAGGTTGTTTTTCATGGTTATTGTATTTTATGATCATGGTATATTTGAGCTATGATCTCCAAGATCATCCATGACCAATTTGTAAATTTTTTTTTCTGTGCTTTGTGAGAAAGTTTAAAGTTTTTAGGGACTGTTTCCAACTTCCACTGCTGCTTTGGGATAGATTTTTTCTTGGGGCTTAGGGCTTGCTAATGCTCACAGTCTTGGATGTTTCTTTAGCTATTTTGCTAGGTCATCGGGCAGCTGTTTTTTGTTGGTTATTTCTGCAAACTATTTTTTTCTTTTTCTGTTTAGGTGGATCTTGTGTGCTCCTGTTCATGTTTTTTTCCTTCTCTCTTTCTAATAATATTCTTTATCCAAAAAAATATTTGTTCTCCTAAGCTCGACACCTTACTCTGTTCTGCAATTTTCCTGGTATATTTTACAAGAGATTTTGTTTAAAATAATTGGTGGGCCCCTGTTGTTCTGTTTATTTCTAGGGATTGCCATACGCTCGTTGCTGACAGATATCAGTATTTTTTTGTTTGTTAATGAATAATTTGTGCTTGATGTTTTCTTCATGCAGGGCACTACCTTCGAGCTAGATGATGATATGGTGGTAGAGGATGATGATAGAGAAGCACTACAGGATATCATAAATAATGCTAAACTTAGTGAAGGTTATCTTACCCTTGCTCGTGATATTGAGGTTATGGAGCCAAAGTCTCCTGAAGATATCTATAAGGTTTGAAGTTCGCATCTTCTTAGTGTGTGTGGACGGTAGGAAGTGGGATTTATGATATTTATAGTAGTTATATCTGATGGTGGTTTTATTTCCTGAACCCTGTTTCTGTTGCAGAGTACAATTATTCTTTTGTGCTTGGCGGGCATATTTTACTTGTTTTTGTGCATAAACTTTTGTTAGTTTGGTTGTAATTCTTACTCTTACTCCTGTTAATTGTATTGGAACTGTCTGAGGAAGTTTAAAGAGAAGAAAGAGGTTGACCTACTCACGTTATTTAGAGAAATTGTATTGGAGGCTTCTATTAAACATTCAAATTCTGTTTACATTTTGTTTCAATAAATTGAGTTCTCTAAAAATTTGTTTTTTCTTTTTTTTTGGAAATCTCTTTTTGTAAAGATTTAGTTTCAGTTGATCAAAGGTCCACACAATTATACACTGTTGGCATTCTGTCCGCTGGCTAGTTGATGTTTCACTAGAGGCATGTGCCTTAATAGTTTAAGTTGACATTCTTTACTTCACTAATCTGCTTCACTGATTTCACAGGCTCACTTGCTTGATGGCCGGGCTAGTGCTGGTGCAAGTGTTGATTCAGCCAGACAGAACTTGGCTGCTACCTTTGTTAATGCATTTGTAAATGCTGGTTTTGGTCAGGTAAAAATGAGCAAAATTTTTATGCATGTTGAACATTATGTGGGTTTACCTTTCTTAATTATTATTAATTATTTTTGGTTTAGGATAAGCTGATGACGGTCCCATCTGACTCCTCGAGTGGTTCTTCGGGAAATTGGCTCTTCAAAAATAAAGAGCATGGCAAGGCCAGTGCTGCAGCCAGTCTGGTATGTGTTCCCCTTTCATGTATATTATACTTTGTGAAGTTAACTTTTATGTTGTAGTCTCATTGTGTTTCCTCGTATCAGGGAATGATTTTGTTGTGGGATGTTGACTCCGGTCTAGCTCAAATTGATAAATATTTCCATAGCAGTGACAATCATGTGATTGCTGGCGCGTTATTAGGAGTTGGAATTGTAAATTGCAGCATAAAGAATGATTGCGATCCAGTGAGTGCTTGTTTTACCATATCTTATTTCTGCTTACAATTCATGATTTTTTGGGAGGTGTAAATCTTCTTTTTTTCTTTTCTCAGGCACTGGCTCTTCTAGGTGATTACGTTGATAAAGAAGATTCATCTATCCGAATTGGTGCAATAATGGGCCTGGGAATTACATATGCTGGTTCTCAGAATGAGCAGGTGTAGTATCTTGATAATCAACTAATTTTTAGCAGCAATCTGTCAACCTGATTGGCTTTACAGAGTTTATAGTTTTCTCTATTATATATGTTCAAAATAACCTGTTTCAGAAAGAAATATGGTGTTTACTAGAAACTCTTGGTTTTACAGATACGGAGCAAGTTGTCTCCTATTCTGAATGATGCAAAAGCCCCACTTGATGTTATTGCATTTACAGCAATCTCGTTAGGATTGGTATATGTGGGTTCCTGCAATGAGGAAGTTGCACAGGCTATAATATTTGCATTAATGGATCGTAGTGAGTCAGAATTGAATGAGCCGCTAACAAGGCTTTTGCCTCTTGGTCTTGGTCTTCTATACCTTGGGAAACAGGTAACACTATCTTCCAGCTTTAAGGCTTATAAGATTTTAATTTTGCACCTGTAATTTCAGAGTTTATTAAAGATTATTGTCATTTATCTGGTTAAGTATTCTTCTAGGATATCTTGATCTGACTCCTCCAATCCCTTACTGATTGTCTAACAGGAGAGTGTGGAGGCTACAGCTGAAGTTTCAAAGACTTTTAATGAAAAGATAAGAAAATACTGTGACATGATATTGCTTTCCTGTGCCTATGCTGGGACTGGGAATGTCCTGAAGGTATTTCATGAAAACTAATCAGTTGCAATTTAAAAACCTGCTAGTTGACATAATGGAGTTGCTGATTCACTTAGAAAACTGAGAAACTGATTGGTTACCAGGATTAGTTTCTGATTCTTTATTTATGCAGGTTCAAAACCTTCTAGGTCATTGTGCACAACATCTTGAGAAAGGAGAAACCCACCAAGGACCTGCCGTGCTTGGAATTGCTATGGTGGCCATGGCTGAAGAATTGGGTCTTGAAATGGCAATTCGGTCGTTGGAGCACCTTTTGCAGTATGGGGAGCAAAATATTCGTAGAGCAGTTCCTTTGGCTCTTGGACTTCTTTGTATATCAAATCCGAAGGTAATGATCTCTGTACTTTGAGCTTAATGGCTGAACACTAGCTGGAAAACTGTGTAGGTGTAAAAATGACAGGCCCAATTTGACCGACAACCTGGTTTGATCAGGCTGGAGTGGGTGGGCCCGTCAATTGTTATGAAGACTGGCCTGGCCGAAACACAGTATTCCTTTTGAGCTGGTTCACTCAGTCAGAGGCCCATCAATTTTATTATTAAATATATTAGTTTATTGATATTTTGATTATCTTGATTAATTTTGGTTATTATTTTTATTAGTTTTGTTATTATTTTCCTTATTTTTGTTAATTTTTAATTTTTAAAGTTTCTTCAGCTGGGCCAAGCTCATGCTAAGGCAAGCTGGGCTTGGTGCTTGTTTGTCCTGTTTCGCTTGGCCCAGCCTGTCCTATTGATTGGGCCCAAAAGGTGGGATGCCATGTCTTGTACAATTAGCAGTCTGAATTGTCGCTATATCCACATTTTACTGTTTGATTTCGTGATGATTCTATATCAATGCTAGTAAATTTGCTCTGATGATTTAAACGGAATATTGGAGTTCTTTTTATGGCTCATTGATTCTCCAATATGGCTTTCCTAGGTTAATGTAATGGACACCTTAAGCAGATTGAGCCATGATACAGATTCAGAAGTTGCGATGGTAAGATAATGGTTGTTGTCTTCGAATCCATCCTTGTAGTTATTTCATCTGTTACTTATCGGACTGAAAAATTGTTTGTTTGGATGCAACAGGCGGCAGTCATATCCTTGGGTCTAATAGGGGCTGGGACCAACAATGCTCGAATTGCTGGCATGCTTCGCAATCTTTCAAGCTATTACTACAAAGATGCCTGTCTTCTTTTC